CCCCAAAACCCCAAAACCCCAAAACCCCGAGCAGTGTTTATTCACTAATTGAGGAATATTTTAAATTGATTAAATTAAAAATTAAATAGTGAACAAACAAAATCATGCATAGATCAAGACTTATGTATGAGAGCACTATCTAAAAAATAGTATTTCCCGACATCAAATAAAAGTACTTTGTTCTTGCAAGTCAAAGTTTATAGATACAACAAGGACTTTCACAAGGATAATATAGAAAAGATGAGGCAGAAAGAAATGGAGCTGCAACATAAATACGATGAGGAGCGAAACCGTCCACAAAGTAATTATGCAAATTTAGTCTTACATCAAATTCTAATACATTTTAATTGAAATAGAACAAGAATGGAAAATGAAGAAGTTTCTGAGTGTTGACTCTAAAATAAGTTAAATTGTAATTATACTTGCCCTTATATAAACCATTGAGGCATTCTCATTAATTATTCACTTTGCAGACTAGAAAGAATTTGAAACATCAAGTGTATGAGAATGAATAAACAAGACAGAATAATATTTACGATATGAGGCCAGAAAATTTTAACTCGTACAATGACAGGTCTTAAGAAAGGCTGCCCTAGATTCAGATACACATGGAGCCTAAACCACATTACTCATAGAAGCAGTCTAGGTAGAACGTAGGTGGCTCTATTCTCGCAGGTAATTAAATTGCTATGGCAGTCAACACACCCAAAATAGAAAACTATGAAATACCTAAAGGAAAAGTCTATGAACATCTTTATCAAAGCTCGAGCTAGCCTATCCAACCAAAAGATTATTAGCAAACACCAATGAATGTACCGTAAAGCACAAAACTTGGTGGTTAAAAGGCGAAATAGCAATTTGAGGAATCAATCTTTGCCCTAGCAGGAAATGATTAAGTATTCAATTCTAATCGTCCAAATTACCAGTAGTAGTAGCAACAGAATGAACTGCTTCCTTAGATGATGGACATGAAGTAATAATACTAGAACCAAAGCAGGCAGTAGAATAACATCAACAGCTACTAGGATAATAGCTATAACTATAACAATAATGCAAGCCAGATGGGTATGAATAACTATGGAGGCAACAACAACAATAACTAAAATTCTTAAAAATACCTCAATCAGATAATTAATGATAGTCACAGCATTAACTCAAAACCATTGTCAAATCAAAATGACAGAAGGAATTATGGCAAAAATTATATCTCTGAAAACAAAAATAAAGTCATTCACGAGCAACCTAAAAGCAAGATCCTCGATCCAAACAGCAATTCCCCTAATTTACACAAGAGCTTTGGTAAGGTTCCCAAGTATATCAATCGCTTTTAAAAGCAAAAGGAGGATGAATATTATGACAGAATCAGAGAGGAAGAAGAGGCTAGGATACCTCCAGGCACAAGACAGATGTCTGAGGAGGAAAGGTAAAGGACTTTGGTTGAACTAGATCAAAGCAAAAAAGAGGTTAACATATTACTAGAAAAACTGCCCATCGGCTCAAACACATTAACTATGCAGAGGAGAAAGAAAGAGTTAGAAGAGAAGTTGCTACGTATTGATAGAGCAATCGAAACTTTCTCTAAGAAAACTGTATATATCGCACTTTGATCTCTCCTGACAGCTATCTTAATAAATAAATTAGTCAATATATTATCAAGAATCGTAAATCAGATTAACTATTTAATGGGGTTTTGGGGTTTTGGGGTTTTGGGG